CGGGCCCGGATCAATCGCAGTTTTTTATCCCACTTTTCACCCCGGGGGAGAAACGTCACCGCTGAGCCGGCGGAGCGAACTCCTGTCCCGGCCGGGCCCGCCCCGCGCTCAGCCGCCTCTGCGTCGCCAGCCAGGGCCGGGCACAAGTCCTGGGGGAGGCGGGTAGGACCCGGCCTTGGCGGAGCCGCCTGCGATGACCCCACGGCGGGAGCCACCGGGCTCCGGGGAGCCGCTACTGCTGGATCGAGCTGAATGAACCGGCTCCCCGGGAGCTCCGGGCAGGACGGCTCAACCTGCCCGCTTAGTAACTCGCTTGCTCGGATCCCTGGGTCCGTCCAGCCCCGTGTACAGCCCACCCCAGTGGGTCCCTACAGTCCGCCCTCGGTCTGCGCACACCCGGCCCCTCCAGCGGATCCGTCCCCCTCCCTGGTGGCTCTGTGCAGCTCGCCCCATTGCTGCATTCTCGGGCTTGGACATTTTTTAGGTTAACCTACAGAGGAGTCACTCCCTCGCCGGGCCACTCACTCCCTGCCCGCCGGGCCCAGCCGCTGCGATTTAGGGTTCATAAGAAAAGCGGCCGCTGGGGTCCATCCAGCCGGGCCCGCACCCGCTGAACCGGCCCTGAGCGGATCCGTCCAGTCCCTCCACTGCTCTGCACCGGCTGAATCAGACTGTCCCGGCGCTAGGGGAAGTGGGTCCCTACCGGGGAAACAGCCCGCGGGAAACTCCATTAACCCCGAGCCGCCTGCGCCGCCCGCCCCAGCAGGGCCTGGGCCCTTCTCCACGCGGCTGCAGCGGAGCCTGCCGTACTGGATGCGGGGCGGACGCCACGGGGGAGCGAAGGGGGCTGGGGCTGCCAGCAGGAGGGGGGTGAAACGCCGGGACAGGGGCCCCCCGCCCGGGGCCTCCCCAGCCGTGCCCAGGGGCTGCGCAGCCTGCCCCAGGGCGGCTTGTAACAGCGTTAATATTGACACTAACCGACTGCAGCGTCCGCCTAGCCCGGGTAGAGCAGCGCAGGGCTGGGACGGGGCGCTGGGGGCGGATTTAAGCTAAAACCGGATAAAAAAAGCAGGAAGGTTAAAGTGAGCAGCAGCTGGGGGACACGGGACAGTCGCTGGGCGGCGGGGCCTGGCCCGGGAGAGCCCCATGCCCAGAGACGGGCGCGGGGCCCTGCAGCGGCCGGGCAGGGGGAGGCTGCGCTCGGTGAGATCCGCACGGCCTGGGAACGGGCCTGGCGCTGAGGAGGGAGATTTTAACCCCCCGGTTCTCCCGCGGAGAGGCCACGTGGGGAGAGGCGCGGGCCTCCACTGCCCGCTATCCCCATCGCGCCAGGCTCGGGGACAGGGAGCTGGGCCTCCGTGGGACTCCTACCCAGTGCCGGCTGGGCCCAGGGATTCAGGCCTTTTACGGGGAGTAGATCCCAGTCTCCAGCGGGCCGGGGCGGGGGGAGCTGAGGGCCTAGGAGGCCGAACAGCTCCTGGGTTCCAGGCCACGAACCGCCCGGCGCGGGCCCGGTGGCGCCCAGCTCTCTGCAGACCCCGGGAGCAGAGAGGTCGGGTCCGCTCCCCAGGCGGCCCGAGCACCGCTAGGTGCCATTGATCGAGGGTACAGGGGCGACAGGCCGCGGGCAGGGCTCGCTCCGTGCAGGGGCTACCGACCCCCAGCGCAGCCACGGGGAAGGAAAACGCCCCGGGCCTTTGCCAGGCTCCCCTGGCCAAGGCCTGTGGAGATTCCTCGCCCCGCTGAGTGTCGGGGGGGATGAGCCGCCCCCAAGGACAAACCGGCCGGGGGTCACTGCGGTGAAGGACTCCCGGACCCCGCAGCGCCGTGATCCCGCTTTTGGGAGCTGCGCGGGAAAGTCCAGGAGCTTCGGGGGAACACGCGTGGGAGCGGTGGAGGCCAGGGGCACTCGGGAGGCCACAGGGCGATCCTGCGCATCCCTCACACCGAGGCAGCTTGACACAGGCGCCCGCTCCACCCTGCTTGCGGCTCCCGCGTTCACCCCGGCTGGGGCCTGTGCGCCTGCCCCAGCCGCAGCCCCACCTTGCCCCGCAGCCACAGGCCCCCGCAGGGTCCGGGCGCTCCGGCCTCTCCAGGCCGCCTGTTAGCTGCGGAGCAGGGGACGGCTCCCTCCCCCTAGGGCCTGCTCCGATCAGCGCGGCCCTGCGGGAACACCCGGAGCCCCGCCGGCCCTTGCCGGATTCCCGGTGAAATCCTGGCCCCACAGAAGTCACTGGGGGGCAGCAGGGCCGGGATTTCACCCCTAGGAGCCGCAACCTCCCAAGCCGCGCCGCGCTCAGCAGCCAGCCGAGCCCATGTTAGCGCGCAGCGGAGCCCGAGCCCGGTGGAGGCGGCCAAGGCAGAGGGAGCGGCTCCCAGGCAGGAATCGGGCCCCCCAGGTAGGCCCTGCCGCGGCCCCGGGGCTGGGGGTGGGTGAGCTCGCCTCGGCAGCGAACCCAAGGGGAACACGCGGCTCTCTCCCGGGAGCAGTCGCTGTTCCCCGGCAGCGCGCTAAGGAGGAGCTGGCGGGAGCCGCCCGATAAGTATCGAATTTATTGACAAGATGCGATTGATCGTTACCGTCGGCGCGCCGGGCGGTGCGTAATAATCGTCAGCCCCTCCCCGCCCGGTACCGCCGCGAAATGTCTCTCGCGGACCCCGTTATCGATCGATTCTTGCGGCCAAAGGTTTTCGGCGGAAATTATAAATTCTAGTCAGTTATTGTATCGAAATCTTTTCGATCTAGATTAGTGATAATTATCTGCGATCATCCCCGTGTCCCATTCGCACCGGCTCAAACGGCGGCGCCCCAGGAATTAAAATCGGTTTAACTTTGACATGTAAATAAACCGCAGAACTGCCCCGGCTGCGGCGAGTTTCTTTGCCCGCAAACACCGAGCGGGGCCGGAGGCCGGGGCGCGGGAACCACAGGGGACGAATCGGGAAACAAACAAAAACCCGGTGGAGAAAGAAAACTGGAGCCGAACCCTGCGGAAGCAGCCGCCGGGGCGGGCGGGCGCCACTCGCCTCCCCGAGTGCCTGGGGCGACGCGCGGAAGGCAGCGCGCCAGGGGGGCTGGGAGGCCCCCGGAGCAGCCCCGAGTGTGCGGGGTACTCACGCGACCCGCGGTCCGTGCCCAGGTCCGCCGGCGCCGCGGGATCCGCTTTCGGCCTCCCCGTTTCGATTCGCACGGTCCTGCGGGGCAACACAATTGTTCGTTAAAACGAAATAACCCCGCGGCGACTGTCCCCCCTCCGCGTTTCCCTTTTGTTCTGCCCTGCCCCGCACACACCGAAACCGCCCGGCGACAGGGTCCCGGCCCGCCGTCTCCCAGCCAGGAACAGCCCGTTTTCTTCCTAAACATCTGTAAACACCGCTGGGTTGACTGGACAGCTGGGCTCCTCGTGCCCCGTTTTCGGGCCTTTCTTCCCCGGCTGCCTCCAAAGGGCGCCAGGATCGGACCCGTGGCCGGGGCTGCGGAGCGCGGGTTATCGGCCGCTCGCTGCGGGGAGATCATTATTTTCAGCAGCCGGGCTGCCCCCCTTTGCCTCGATCTCCCCTGGAGGCCGGGACACGCTCTCGCTTCCCCGGGAGTGCGCAGAAGGAAAAGGGAGGACGGACACGGCTCTGTCCTGGGCCGTCCCGGCCTTGCCCTGCAGAGTTCGGTCCGTTTGGGGGTTTCCGGTGCTGCTCTGGTTCCGACTCCCAGGCCGAGCCCGGCCCGCGCCGGCAGCAGAGATCGGTGCTGGGTCTGGCTCCTGTCCTGCTCTGGATTGCGGCGTTAACAGGCGTCTGGACTCTCTGGGCCCATCCTGCTCTCACGGCGGGGTTAGGGCAGATCCTCCGCCGATGTAAAACAGCAGAGCTCCATTCAAGTCAATGGAGCCCGGCCAATTCACAGCGGCGGGGGGCGCAGGCCCGGGGCGGCCCGGGGAGTTTGCCACTAACTTCAGTGGGGCCCGGATCTCGCCCTTTATTGTTAAAAACTCCCCTTTGGCCGTTTCGCAGCTTCGGTCTCCTGGAGGCGAGTGGGGTTCTCCCAGGTGGGAATCTCGGCGGGGATCCCGCAGGCCCTCGCCTGCCTGGGAACCCGCTGCGGCCCCAGGGCTCCTGCTCCTCAGAGCAGCGGCGGGCGCGTTCACCAGGCGGGGGGCAGGGTGGCCGCCTTCTCCGGAGGCAGGCCCAGGAGAGAACCCCTCGGGCAGGGAGAAGGGGTGCGGGGCAGGACAGAAATCGGCACAGGCCCGGGGCCGTACCCGGGCCGCCGCCGCCCGTAGGCGCTGCTCAGTGACACTTCTGGCTACTTTCCAATGGGACCCTGGCCCAGGAGAGGGCAGGGGCTTGTTCTCTCACAGCGATTCCCTTGGGGAGACCTGTGCGGAGACCCCCGCGCACCGTCCCGCACTCCCCGGGCCTCTGGGCGCTCCCCGGGCCCGGCGCAAGCTGTGTGATGTGCCTACCTACCTACATGTACTTAGCATTGACATGAGCAGTGGCAGCACCGGCTTTGTCCAGGGCACCCCTGGGATCCGCACAGCTGGGGCTCCCTGACCCCCACACACCGTCCCGCAGCCTCTGCCCAGCCAGGTGGGTGCCAGGCCCGGTCTGGCGCGCTCCTGGGAGCAGCCTCCCCAGAGCCTCCCCTTAAGACATTGCTATTTCTGGTAGGGCAGCCGGATCTCGGGCCGGGGCTCAGGGGGCCGGCTCAGCCACCCCCACCCTCCAATGGGGAGGCTGCCCACAGGACCCCGGCCCCTCCTCGCCGTGACGTGCCGGCCCGGGACAGAGGAGGCTCGCGAGCCCTTGGCTGGTCCCCGCAGAGGCTGTAACAAAACGCAGACCCCCAGTGCCGGGCTAATGGAGGCAACTTAGCCAGGAGCGCGCGGCCCCTGGTTTATCTGCGCGCGGCGCGGCGCCCCCCCAGCACCCCGGAGCGCCGCCGGGCCCTGCGCAGGGCGCTGCACCGCCCCCAGGGTTTATTGGCTGTTCGCGCTGCCCCGATGATGTTACCGAGCCCCGTCACCTCCACCCCCTTCTCTGTCAAAGACATCCTCAACCTGGAGCAGCAGGAGCCGCACTATGGAGCCCAGCTGCAGCAGCACCTGGAGCAGCACTTCCACTCGGCAGCCTGCCTGCTGGCGGCCGGGGACGGCTCCCGCTTCTCCGACGGGGAGGAAGAGGAGGAGGAGGAGAAGCTGTCCTATCTGAGCTCCATGGCCGCGGCGGAGAGCCAAGGGGACGTGGGGCTCTCCCCGGAAAACTACGTGCAGGCGGTGCTGCGAGGCTCGTGTGAGCCCAATGGCCCGGGAGACGAGCTGGAGCCTGCGGGGGATCGGGACCCCAGTGAGTATGGGGGCAGCGACCCCGCGGCCGCGCTGTTAACAATGCGGAGCTAACCAGGCGCGGGACAGGGGCAAGGGACCCCTGCAACTTCCCCCCACCCATCATCACCCCACAGCAGGGCTAACGGGACTTTGTGTCACGCGCAGCACCCGCTGCCCCCATCCGCCCCAT